ATCGTCGAAGATTACGATTATATTATCATTATAATTGTACTATATATAGATAGATTACTTTTACCATATTTAGTTATGATTTTGATTCTACATAATGAGAGAACCTCTCACATAGAGGGACATCGAGCCTTATTGAATATTATTGTGTATATTTGACACAAGTGAGGTGGTGCCTAAGCTTACTTGACAACTTTTGCTCTATAGTTAACTGTGGTCATATGTATCCGTAACTTTTTCATTCATTTGAAAGAATAAATAGCATGATATTCATGTGGTTCTTCTGTAGTATAAACAAATTAAGCCATTCATTCCCCCTTTGTAGTAGTATTCGAAGGCCCATGATTAAATCAAACCTTCCAAATATAAGATAAAAACAACGAGGAGAAGCAGTTTAATTTCTTCCCTCATCTACTCGCTTGACTCCCGTAGCCTTCCCTGTCATTTTCCGGCCCATTCATCACCAGTGCACATCGCATTTAGGGCTCATTTTACAGGACTTCTGTTTTTACTTTGTCTTCTTGAAGAAGAGTTTTATGAGAAAGTTATTTTAGGTCAACTTTCTCTAAAGACTCTTCTAGTCACTCAAAACACTTTCATAAAATTATTTAGACAAATTCAAAAGCAACTTTTTAATTTTAAAAGCAACTTTTGTTTTTTTTTTGAAAGCCTCGCCAAACGGCCCTTAATTTGATATCTACAATAGATGGCTACTCGACGGCTGCATACAACTAGGTATTTTGTAGTGCTTATATAGGTCAGTTAACGCACTACAAGGTAACATCTTGCTTTTACTGCTATTTCACATTTTTTGCCATGGAGAGATTGCCTATCTTTTGGGGAAGGACTGTTCGAATGGTAGAAGAGTCCATAGGTTGATTAGGAATCCATGGTCGTCTGGATTTTTAAATTTTTAAAATTTATTGCGGTATGAGTTTTCTTATTTACAATTTTCACAGGTGCAGCTAGTAAAGTATGTTGGACCAATTGCGTTAGACTAATATAATTTGGTATTGTTGTTGATGTTATTTGTACGAGAGCCTTGCTATTTGTACATAATCTTGTGTACATCAGGATATCCAGCCCCTCACATGGGGGAGGGGTCCACTTGGAGAAAATATTTTTTTATTCAAGTGGGGTCCCGCCCTCATGTGAGAGGGTGGATACCTTGATATACACAAAATTATGTACAAATAGATAAACTCTTTGTACGATTATTTTTATATTGAAAACTTTAATTGTCAGGTTATTGAAATGTTTTATAATTATTTTTATGGCTAATCAATGAACAATATTCATATACCAGGCTTGCTAAGTATGAGGCTGGAGCTCAAAAAAAGAGAAGTGAAACTGAGGAAAGTGATTAATTCCAAGTCAAGATGGTGATATTGGTAATACTTTAATAGCAACAAACTAAGATAAAGGGAAGAAGCAACAAAAAATTTGGTGATTAAGGAACACACGAATGAGAATGATAATGACAATATGAATGAATCGAATGAGGATGAGGAAGTGATTGAACTTGCCAATTGAAATGTTTCAACCAATCTTCAACTTGATGTTGAGGGTGTCACAGGGTAAGGATATGACAATAGATCTAATATGATCGAGAGGCACGAAAGTGTACAAAGAAGATTACATGAAATGAATTAGAGAGTTTTCTATACTTCATGTGACTGTCATAGTCTTAATCAACAAGTGATATAGTAAATTATAGTGTTGATTGAATGTAACAATTTGTACTAGATTACCGTGTCAAGCAAGAACTCAAAATTCTCAAATTCATATGTTGCTAAGGACTAGTCTTTAATCAGTTTTGATCTTCTCTAAAGTTTGCCAAGTCAAACAAAGCATTTCTTATTTGTAAAATTTACTTTTTTTATAAGTTGAACACTTTTAACATGACTTTCCCAACGTTTTTGCGCCAATGGATTAAGTGTCAAAGCTGCCACCTTTTTTTTGAAGGTTTTCCATCACTTGAGAGAAAAAGAAAACAATATTGATATTACTATGACCTTTTAGAATGAATGGTTTCTTTTCTCGAAGATTATAGAGAAACTAGGTTTGCTATCATCATGGATGAAGTTAAACAAATGGCAAGTGAAATGGGAATCGAAGCCGTATTTTTAAAAAAAAAAATCATTCAAACAAAGAAGTAGTTTGGTGAAAATGATGAGGTAAAGCAATTATCTGAAGAATAATTTAGTGTTGATTACTTCCTCTTCATATTGGATTAAGCTCGATCTTCATTTCAAACTCAATTTTAATAGTTTAAACAATACGAGGAGATCTTTGGATTTTTGTTTAATTTGTTGAAAGTCTTGTGAGTCTTAAGTAGTACTGAAATATAATGGATGTCCGGACATGATTGGAAATGATTTATGTCCTAATTAATTGACAATCTTGAGTTGTTATTTATCAATTGAAATAGAAAAAACAATTGATGTACTACAATATTTGAAGAAAATGGACGGTTGCTTCAGAAATTCTTATGTTGCATAGGATCGACAACTCATCTCTAAACGAACTTACAAAATTTTATTAATCATATTGGTTACAGTTGTATTTGCAAAAAGAAAAATTTTTCAAAATGAAATTGATCAAGACTTATTTTTGATCAATTATGTCACATGAAGATTGAACGAATTGAATATATTATTAATTGAGAAAGAAATAGTTGAACAATTAGATTATCCAAATTTAATTAATAATTTTGCCTCTAAAATTGCAAGGAGGGTAATATTTAAGTGATCATTTGGAACATTTTGGCTTTGTTATTTGATGGAAGTATAAATATTTAGAATATTATATTGTGTTTTTCATTTCATTGTTGAGTTTTAAGTTAACCATTAGTTCCGTAAACTTCGTATGAATAGAAAAAAAAAATTGAATACACTACGATATGAGGGTCCAATTTTTAAAGTTCACCTCAAGCTCAGAAAATCATGGGTACGACTATAGATCTCTCGAAACATGAGCCATAGATATGCTTAATTTTATCCAAACATGCATATTCATAATAAAAAATTTACAGAGTTAACTTTTTCAAATTAAGTTAAACGTGATAGCACATCGATACATATGCAACCACTAGACTGACTAATGGAATATTATAAGAGAGGTTGTTTAAATTAATTTTCAATTTTGATGTTTATTTTCAAAATATAATTAAAGTTTGTTTTTATGGCATTTCCTATTTAGAATACGATATTTGAATCCATATATAAAGGGTTTTATATAATGTAGATCAAAACTTCAACATGAGTAAAAATTGAATTCTCCTTCTAAATTCTCTCTTTTCTATCCCTCGTGTCCGTTTAATTCTCCTTCCTTTTCTACCTCCACTCCTACCTTTCTCCTTTCTCTTTTTCTCTCCCCTTCCACCTTCTCCTATTAGATTGTTACTCAAATTCCTTGTGATTTGAAAATTTGATTCATGAAGGAAGCCTAAATAATTTTGGTTTAGAAGTCCAATTTGATAAGGAATCAAATTTTATCGAGGATTGGGAATTTGATTGGAAAAAGGACTTTGAGATTGATGAAGAAATGTTTTGCAAAGACTAAAAGACGAGGCTACCGAGAGAGAAGGCCAAACAAGGGCTGGGCATCGCGGTGTTGTAGCACCCAATAAGAAAAATTGGCAACAAGGTGTCGGCACTCAGGCGTCGGGGCATCGACAGTGGTGTTGAGGCACCGGGTGGGTTGCCCTGCAGCGCCACCCGATGGGAAAAATGGACTTCTACTTGGTTTCAACATGATTTTTTTGTGCTCTACTTCATCCATGACTCCAAGATTTGACTCCTATATATATTCCACGTGGTGCAGGCTCTTTGCAGGCTCAAATAACAATTAGATCATTATTGTATACATTGAAAACTTGAGAGAATTGTTTATATTTAGATTAAGAGTATCAAATCTTATAAAACAATTTTAATTTTTTGATATAATAAATTCTCCTCATCTTCCACATGAATCTTATGTTCTTGTGTGATCCATTATTTTTATATTACTCGTAATTTCTCGTCTTTAATTATTTAGCCGAATTCTCTACAAATTGGCATCAAAGCGCTTGTAAGAGCTCCTATAATTGTTTCATTTTAACTCATTTGTCCATTTCTACTTCTTCCCTGACACATTTAGGAGGTTTGTTCCCAGTAATTTCTAATGTGATGCACCTTCAATTGTTGTCATCGAAGTCTTGGTCAATGTCCTGTACATGTGCTGACAATTGATAGAAAAATAACAAAAAATAAAAAAAAATAAAAATAAAAATGAAAAAGATGTCAAATAAATTATTTTTAATATTAATCTTTATCTTTTCAAAAATCATATCAAATAGCCCAAGTCAAATGGAAAAAGTTTGTTACCCTTCAAAGTTGAAACTTCTTTATAAAAAAAAAGTGTTCACAAGACCTAGTACTTGTTAGGTATAACTTAAAAAAATTGAGATAAAAGTCAATAATTAATTTTAACCATATATTTTATAAGATTCATAACTTTTATCAACTTTTTTATCACACATTTCATCAATTTTTATCAAAATCTGCTAAAACTTTTATATAAAACTTTGACAAACGACCCTCTAATCTCAGGCATTAAGGAATATATCAGTGGAAGACACTTTTTCCCTTTTTTGAAACATATGGAACATAATTTATTACTTAAGTGATACATACTAATATGAGTGAAATTAAAAAGCTCTTATTATCGTTCACGAGACTTTTCATAGTTAATGTCATATCATTCAAATTAAAGTTAATGCAATTCTTCTGAAGCAATTAAAGTTTTCTTTTAAAAAAAAAAAAACACATCAAGATGACGTACAAATAATGAAATTAAGCAATGGAAAATTGATCATATATATAATTTGAATTTGAAGCTGGATTAATAAATACCTGCAAAATTAGTATCCAGCAGACTCTGGGCATCCTTAGTGTGTAAGGCAATCTTGTTCTATAATTTGGATGC